CCCAACCTTCTCTACTTTCTCAGCGAGATTTCTTTCCTTCCTCAACTATTTCAATTGTTTCTAGATTTCTGGTTCGTATGGTTGCGATTACTTACCAGAAGATCGAGTCATGCACCAATCTAACCTATAGCCTGCGCACAGTCAAAGAACTCCAAACGTAAAAAGGGAAAAAAAAAAAGAAGAAAAATTCCTGAATTAGCACTACAAACTATTTCAAACACTATTGATTGCCAATCACCAGCATAGGCGCCAAAATTTGATGTGCGCAAAACACACACTAAAATATGTTCGCTAGTCGAATATAGTAAACTATAATATCGTATCCGTAGGGATTGGAGTTAAACAGTATTATCGTAGTTTGTATCTATATTGCTATCCAGGATGATCAACAATGGAGATTTATATGATTTAAACTAAAATTAACTAAGAGTCTAAACTATCGACTAATGACAATCAACGAAGGTATTGAGCAAAGGAAGTTATCAATTGGGAGAAGACAAGGTTGATAGGATAGGTGCAAGACAAATGTTTGCATTTAACTTTAGATAATTCACTTCTAATATTCAAGTGAGTCTCTCGAATTCACTTGGTTATAAGTTCAATTAATTAGTAGAAACTCCTCTCTCGATTAAGTCTCATCCTCACAAGATGAACCCATTTTAATCACGTAAAGATATGCAAGAATTCGTAGTGGATTGGTTTTTAGGAGAACCTCTCTTGATTATCCTCCTAACTAAGTTTAATAAACAATTCAACTAGCCTCTTCCAATTACTAAGAAGAATTAATGAATTCAACCAATAAAATATATATGTAACAGTTAAAACATCCAAAATGATTCAATACATAAAGACTAGAATTAAATATCCATAAACAAGTATCAAGATACCAAATCCATCAAACCCTCAAGAGAACTACTCCATGGATATGGAATAATTCATCATAACAATGTTTAAATAAAAGGAAAACATAAATGGATCCAAACTCGTCTTGAGTGAGGATTGAATGATGAAGTCCTTGAGCTTTTGCTTCTCCCTCTCCTCCTTGGCTTCCTACAGTCTAAGATGTGTCAAAAGTCATTAAAATAATATTTTTACATGTATTTATACTAAGTAGGGTCGGACCCAGACAAAAATACTTTTTCCGGTGCTAACTGGGATAATAACTCAGTAATAATTGCACAAGCGTGCCGCATTAGGTGACGCGCCAGGCGGGGCGGTGTGGGGAAATCCAGAGAGATTTTAATTTAACAGGAGCAGAAAAATATGCAGCCACGGTGCCCCACGCGCTGCTCCATGCGCCGTGGCTGTGGAACTTTCTCAGAGTAAATCTTTTTCGCTCCCTTTTTGATATCCAGGCTCGGTCCTTGACCCCCGGACGCTATCCCGGCTTAATTCCTTGGGCTTTTACTCAGACTTCAAAGCTCCAAATCACTCGAATTATCTCTATAACATTTACATAGCTCAAAATCCTCCTACAAGGCATAAAATATACAATTAGTACAAAAAACTAGCGATTAAAGCTAAAACTCTATTAAAGTGCAGTAAATTAGAGTGCAATAAGCGACTAAAATATGCAATTATAGCCTACCATCAGCTATCTAACCATCCCGCAATGGTTTGTTGTTTCCATGCCTTGTCATTTAAAGGTCTTATTTCTGCTGATGATGTCTTCTTCGTAGTATGCTTTCTGTTGTTGCCTTATTCAAAACCTTGCTAGAAAAACCTAATTGGGACAAAAACTGGATGTAGGGAAAAAGAGTGCAGCACCTACTTTCACTACAAGTGGTGCTCATCAACAATAATAACTTTTTAGGTGAGTCATATTGCAGTTCCTCGGCAGTTTGACCCCATCCTGGTTTTCCAGTTCATATGATCCTTTCCCGGTGATAACTGAAACTCGGTAGATGCCTTCCCATACCGGGACCTTTTTTCCTGCGTTGAGATCCTGGGTGTTTTGAGTCACTTTTCTTAAAACTAAGTCTCCCACTTTGAAATAACAGAGATTGGCCCTTCAATTATAGTATCTTTCCATTCTTTGTTTCTTGGCCACCATCCTTATGTGCTCCAAGTCCCTGCGTGCGTCAAACGGCTCCAATTTGACTAGCAATGCTTCGTTGTTTGTTTCTTCATCTGCCCTTAAGTATCGCAAGGTCAATTCTCCTATTTCCACCAGGATCTGAGTTTCTGCTCCGTATACGAGAGAGAAAGGTATCTCTCCCGTGCTTGACTTAGTCATCATTCGGTATGCCCACAACACTTCCGGTAACTCTTCGGACCACTTGCCTTTTGTTGCTTCCAACCTTTTTTTGAGGTTTTGAATAATCACCTTATTGGTTGATTCCGCCTACCATTTGTGCTCGGATGGTATGGCGAAGATGTGATTCTTTTAATCTTCAAGTCTTCAAGGAAGTTTTTGACCTTTGAGGCTATGAAGTGTGGCCCGTTGTCGCAGGACCTGCCTTAACCCACTTAGTGAAGTAATAAGTTAAAATTAAAAGAAACCTTACCTTCCCGAGGGACGGTGGCAGTGATCTGACTATATCCATCCCCTATTTCATGAATGACCATGGGGATAATACCAAATGTAGCAGTTCTGCCGGTTGGTGTACTAATAGCGCATGGCGTTGACACTTTTCGCATTTCTAAATGAATGCCTTAGCGTTTTGTTCCATCCGGGGCTAGTAGTATCCTGCCTTAACTAATTTTAACGCCAACTAATCTGCACCTGAATGATTTCCAAAAATTCCTTTGTGAACCTCTCTCATGACGTAATTAGCATCGGAGGCTCCTAAGAATTGGGCCAACGGGCCTTGGAACGACCTTCTATATAACTGTCTGCCCTAGAAGCTGTAACGAGTTGCTTTGGTAGGGAGTGCCCGAGTTGCCTTCGGGTCTTCGGGCAGCCTGCCGTGCTCAAGGTAGACGATGATTTCATTTCTCCAGTCCCAGAGCAGGTTGGTTGTATTTACTTCATAATAATCGTCCACATCCGGTACAGAGTGCATGGGCTGTATGGCCATACTGGAATCTAATCCCTTCATTTCCGTGGATGAACCCTGTTTGGCCAATACATCTGCTTCTGCGTTTTCTTCTCTTGGGATGTAGGTGATTGGCCATTCCATAAACCATGAGAGCAGAGTTTGAACTTTCACCACATATCGTTGCATGCGTTCCTCCTTGGTGTCAAAGATTCCATACACTTGATTTACCACCAGTTGGGAATCACATTTGATTTCAATGACCTCGTAGTCTAGTACCCGGGCCAATTCAAGTCCTGCAATCAAATCCTCATACTCGGCTTCATTGTTAGTCAAGGGAAAAACTTTTGTGGCATGCCTCAAGACTTCTCCCTCGGGCGTGATTAAGACCACCCCGAGCCCGGACCCTTTCACATTGAAATCTCTATCCGTAAATAAGGTCCAAACTTCTGATGTTGTTTCTGACACCATCACTAGTTCTTTTATGTCCACAGGGAGTAGCCCGGGACTAAAATCGACCAAAACTCATGATTTGATCGTAGTCCTGGGCTATATTCAATATTGAATTCACTAATTTCAACTGCCCACTTGGCCAGTCGACCTACCAACTCAGGTTTTTGAAGGACATTCTGCAGGGGAAAGGTTGTCAGCACAACTATCAAGTGGCAAAAAAAATAAGGCCTAAGCTTTCGAGCAGCGACTACGAGAGCTAAGACTAGTATTTTGAGGTGCGGATAACGAGTTTCCGCTCCCGATAAAATTTTGCTAACATAAAAGATAGGAGATTTCATGCCTTCATCTTCCCGGACTACAAACGACACTTACTGCTACCTCTGAGACCGCTAAGTATATTAGCAAATGTTCGCCTTCCTTCGATTTAGAGCCTGTTGGCATTCTGGAGTCTATTCAAAGTTGTTGTTGTTCTTCTTCAGAAGTGAGAAGAAGTGATGGAATTTTTTAAAGATCGAGAAATGAACTTGCTTAGAGCAGCCAGTCGTCCGGTTAGTCTTTGGACCTCTTTCATGATTTTTAGCTGGTCTGGAATGTCCTCGATGGCTTTAATCTTGTCGGGATTGACTTCGATCCCCTTTTGTCACACCAGGAAATCCAAAAATGTACCGGAGCTGACTTCGAACGCATAATTTTCGAGGTTAAACTTCATTTTCTGCTTCCTTAGGTTGTCAAAGGTTTCCTGGAGGTGTTTCAAATGGTCACCTGCGTTCGAAGACTTAACCAGCATATTATCTATGTAAACTTCCATTGTTTTCCCTATTTGCTTTTCGAACATTTTGTTTATGAGCCTCTGATAAGTTGCTCCGGCGTTCTTAAGCTCGAAGGGCATCACATTGTAGCAATATGTGCCAAAATTCATTATGAACGAAGCTTTTTCCTGATCCTTCGGTTTTATCTTAATTTGGTTGTACCCAGAATAGGCATCGAGGAAACTCATCAACTCATTCCCGGCCATTACATAAACCATTTGATTAATGTTTAGCAATGTGAACGGGTATTTTGAGAATGCCTTATTTAGATCCCTATATTTTATGCACGTACATAATTTATTATTCTTGTTTGGAACTACGACTATGTTAGCTTGCCACTCGGTATACTTTACCTCCCAGATTGAACCGATATCAAGTAATCGTGTTGTCTCTTCTTTAACAAACATGTTTTTGACCTCGACAATTGGGTAATTCTTTTGCCTTACTAGCGGGATGTTTGGATATGGGCTTAGTTTGGGCACGACCACCTCTAGCGGGATACCTGTCATATCCGCGTGCGACTATGTAAAACAATCAACGTTAGCTTTAATAAATTCAATAAATTCTGATCTAAGCTTGGGGTCTAGCCTTGTCCCCAAGTGGAACTTCCTCTCTAGAAACTTTTCGAACAATGCCACTTGTTTGAAGCATCCGTTTCTTTCAGTACCTGGAAATACCTTCGTACCTGGTAGGATTCGGACGGCTCCTCCTTTTTGTCATCTTCGTTTAGTTCGAGAGCAAGCGTCGGTTCGTGTAATTGCTATGCCGCGTATTCCTTCCCTTTACTACTGGAAACTGAGACTGCGTTCGTTGCCCATGTTTCCGGTTGATCTCCTTTTATTTGTTTGATTCCCTCTGGAGTTGGGAATTTCATAAGTTGGTGATATGTTGATGGTACAACCTTTATCTCGTATAGCCATGGTTTGCTAACAATTATGTTGTAGCCCATGTCGCCGTGTACTACTTCAAATAAGGTAGTCTTCATGACCCATTCGGCATTCATGGGTAGCAAGATCTCCCCTCGGGTGTTCACACTTGCTAAGTTGAACCCGACAAGGAGTTTTGTTGTCGGAATGATGCTTCTGGTTAGCTTGGCTTGCTCCAGCACTCTCCATTGAATGATGTTGGCTGAACTCCCTGAGTCCACCAAAATACGTTTAATTTGAAAATCTAGAACGTTAAGATAAATTACCAGGGTATCCTTGTGCGGCAATAGAAGTCCATCAACGTCTTCTTCTTTGAAAGTGATGTTGTCCTCGACGACTTCCCATAGTCTCTTGCTATGAGTCACCGATACTTTTGTCTTTTTTGCTGCCGAGAAGGTAACACCGTTGATCTCGTTTTCCCTAAAAATCATGTTGATGGTTAGCCGGGGAGGGTCTTTTCCTATTTTTGAGGGATTTGCGTTGTCCCGGCTGTGACCTTAATTGTTTTTAACCCGGTCGCTTAAGAACTCTCTGAGTTGGCTATTTTTCAACAACGTTGCCACCTCCTCATGCAGATGTCGGCAGTCCCCAGTCCGCTGGCCGTTAGTCCCATGATACTCGCACCATAGATTAGGATCCCATTTGCTAGAATCAGATCTCATCCACCTCGGGAACTGTGCTTCCTTGATATTCCTTATCGCCGATACCAGCTCCACTACGTTGACATTGGAATTGTACTCGGACAGCCTGTGATAGGTGGAATCTTGGGAACCCGATACCTCTTTATCTTGCAATGACCTGTTATTCCGACCGCTGTCAGTTCTTCTATTGGAAGCGAACCTATCCACCAATCGCAAAGCTCTTCCGCATCCTTCGGCCCTTTCGTTAGGAAAAAAATCAGCCCTTATAAGATCGTCGATCTGTGTCAAAATCTTCCTTCGATTTATGCCTATTCTTTTCTCAATCTCGACCTTTAGTTGATGCAAGAACCCGAGCTGATCATCTTTTATTCGTAACTGTGATAGACATCGGCCCATGTAGTTTCCTGGAACTCAAGCAGGCTTTCTTTCAGTTTTTGGGAGGCATCGGGGCTCCTCTGTTTCAACCCTTTAGTAAACGCCTCAACTGCCCATTCATCTGGCACGATCGGTAGCAGCACCCTTTCTTTCTGAAACCTGGTCATGAACTCGCGCAGTAACTCGGACTCTCCTTGTTAGATTTTGAATATGTCCGCCTTTCGGGCCTGGACCTTCTTGGCCCTGGCATAGGCCTTGATGAAAGAGTCCACGAGCATCTCAAAGGAATCTATTGAGTTTTCGGGTAAGAGTGAGTACCATGTCAGGGCCCCCTTTGTGAGGGTTTCTCCAAACTTCTTCAGCAGGACCGACACAATCTCGTGCGGAGCCAAGTCATTTTCTTTCACTACCGTTGTATAGGTGGTGATGTGCTCCTGAGGGTCCAAAGCCCCATCATATTTTGGCACATCTGGCATTTTGAACTGCTTCTGAATTAACTCTAGTGTTGCACTCGGTTTGAACGACGACTGGGTGTATTTCTTTAAGCTCGGGCTCTTCAGCTCTGGTGGTGCGCCCGGAATTAGATCCATTCAGGTGTTTATTTCCCTTATAAACCACATGAGATCGATTTTGAAGGGACCATTACTGTTGTTACCAGATCCGCTGCAGATACCTTCGGCCCCGTCGAAGCCAACCTCACCCCTAGGGGTGTTGTTATGAGCCTTTTGCGCTGTTTGATTTGCGGTAGCATCAGGATGAACTGGGCCTCTTCTATTCGCGTTGTTGGAAGCACCCAATAATACTTGCCTTAGTTCTGTCATGGCCTAGTATTTCTGTGAGAGATGGCCCATGATGGCCTTTTGCTGTTCTCTCAGGATGCTCACCGTTTCCGCAACGTGCTCGTATTTAGCATCATCAGGAGTCGCCTCCCATACGTATCGAGGATAACGCCCGCCATGGACCGGCGTTGCTACGTCCTCCTCGTGTTGAGGCAGATTTTCTTGTGCCTCAACGTTGTGTACGATATTGACATCGTTGGCTGCAATTTTTTTTAATTTTTGCCTAAGAAACAAAGAATCAAACAGGTTAGTAATAGATGCAAAGATCAACTCAATCACACAACTGTCTAAGCCCCACGGTGTGCGCCAAACTGTTTACCCATTGATTTGATCCTAAAATAATAAATAAATTAAATAAAAAGCAAGACTTAGTGTTAAAATTGAGATTAAATAGTAGTCAACTTGATTCCAGGAGCAAGGCTTCCGAAGGAAGTAATTAGAATAACGTTAGACAGAAAATAAAGTATTATTTATCTTGGAATAATGTGTAGCATAAGTTTGTCAGATTTTTTCGTGTCTTACAATGGTAGTTGAAGCCAATATTTATAGTTATACCTAGGGAACAAAGTACTAGGATCAAGTCTCTCTTAAATGACAATAATGGGGATCATTGATGAATATGTAACGGCAGGTCATAAATGCCAAAATTCTCTGTAACGGATGTGTATTTAAAACTGAGGAATATTCTTCATTGAATGTCATTTGGTGACAAATATCCGTTTGCTCTCGTTGATAATGTTTCCGTTGGGGCCTACTCGATGCCTTCCGAAGCTGTTATCATCGGTCTTGATTTTTACTTGCTTCGTCTTCCGTCTGCCCCGGTTCCATGTGTAACTCTGTCATTCGAGTCGTTAAGGTGAACCGATTTTACCCTATAATTGAGCCAAGCCTTCAACAAAGTATTTGATCCTTACCTAATTAAGCCACCCTTTCGTTGGTACCATAAGTTCCATCTTCATTATTGTCTTTGTTTAATACAGAAGCCGACACTTTGTTTAGGTGAA